TTTGCCACCAGGTGGAGTTTCTTCCAACCTTCCTACGCTCGCCTCGATTAGGGTGTACATATACCTACCTCAAACATCCGTTTATATAATTATAATAGGCTGTCCTAGAATTTCTTATGACGCTTATACAAGCTAATAGTCTTGAATCAACTGAGGAAATTGGTCTCTAACCTCTCTTAGTTTTGAAATTCAGTTATTGGATTTTTCAAAATATTATTCAGCAAAATATTTTATCAATTCTAAATACAATTTTGTTGATCGAAGAATATATTTCGTTATTTTAACATTCTCTCTGAAAAACTAAAAATTTTGTCACTTGAATGAAATAATCATTTCAATCAACAGAATCGATCATGAGAGCAGATATTGTATTATAGGAACAAAATAGTCTTTGTTCATTCAACCAATTCCTGCTGTTGATTTGAATTATTAATGAGTTACATCAAATTTTGAATTGAAAACTAACAAAAAACATTTGTTGCGGTGACAAAATATTTTGTTGTGGATATATGACACTCAGATTTTGTTGAATTTACAAAAATTTTGTAGTTTCAAACACATTTTTTTTTCTGTGTACTCAATAACCCCAATTAGGATCATTTTGGCACCATGAAAGCTTACACAGGGGAGTTATAAAGGGAAATAATACTTCCAAGTTCAACATCCTGTATCTCATAAGCGGGGAAAGTTAAAACACATGTTTATATGAACTTCATTTGCTAGAATGTTACAAGGAAACACTCCTTGAATTTTTTCGGTGTTATTTAGATACACCCTGTAAATATTCAGTAGATTCGAGTGCCATTCCTGCGAATCTTATATCAGAACGATAAATCCAGATTAATTACAACAAAGGTGCCTATGTCTTGATTGACAAGTTGTTCATAAAATTACGAAAACTACCTTGGTAGTAAAATCACACTTTAACGAAAAGTAGTAAATAATGGTAGGTTTTATAGCTAATGATAGAAACAATGATTGGTCACACAACCTGTCGAAAGTTATAGACATTTTGATTGATGCCTTACTCATATAGAGTTTGTTCCGGTTCAATTGACAATTACAATTATTAGTCCAACCCACCGATACAAATCACGGTAGTCAAAAAGTGCACCATACTTTCAAGATTTGTTCGATTTACGATTTACTCTTGACCTTTTTAGTTGCCAATTCATCAATAAATCAATCATTGCTTCCAAAATTGCATTCTAATGATCAGTCAGGTGATCATGAACTTGACATTGAAATGTTTTTTCAGTATGCCCGCTTTGTTGCAAAAAGAGCTTTCATCTTATTAGATCATTTCAAAGAGAATGAAAATCTTAGGGAACAATATTATACAGAAAGAAGAATACTCTGCATGAGGCACTTCAGTTTTTGAAAATGACTTTCATTGGATGAAGGTATTTTATGGCCATCCTTAGAATATCCTTGGAAGGATATCTATCCCGAAATCATGGAGAATACATTGAAAAAAATAGATCTTGTGCATTGGTTCGGCCATATCGGACACTTCTAATGGAAAAGTTATATTCTCGAAGTAGATAAAAAAACAGGGTCGGTATAGTAGGTGTCTGAGGGACAATTCTACTCGATACAAAGTCAATGGTGGAAAACGCATATATCGTTATCAATCCTCGTTTCAGAGTAACAAGGTGCATTTTTAAAAAGTGCATGGCCCAAACTGTTTTTCCTTTAATTTCTTCGTTTTCATGAAAATTGTTCCAAAGCATGGTGTTGTTCATGGAGATTGATCCAAACCACTGAAATCAAACATCTCATATCTTGTTTGAAAGTAGAACTTTTTCATGAAGAAGAACAATTTATGATTTAGAACTAGATATAGCAAGGCCAAGGTAAGACTGATTTCAGTGCCTGAGGAACAATTTTTATCACAAACCCATTGCTTCGGAAATGTTTTCATGAAACCAGGAAATAGTATATTTCATTGCGATTCTGAAAATAGGGACTTTTCATGCAAGCACGGAAAAATCATTTCTGGACTATATTTCTTATTACACTTCATTCAAAATGGAAATATAATTTGCTTTTGGGTGTATGATAAATTGACATTCATCATACAGGGCGTGGAAAGAAATTCTGAATTGAGACTCAATCACGAATCTGCGATTAGAGGTCTATAAAAATCACAATTTTCCATCGTTCAAGTTTGAACACCCTGATTGGGTATGAAAGTGTTGAAAAGGAATATTCTCCGATAAATTATGAACATACAAAAATGGATATATATTTATATAAAGCAATACATTGAGAATTTGCATTCTCTATGTGATGAGAATATCAACTCTTTTCCAGCTAATTCAATAGAAAACAACTACTTTCCTGGCTATATGCCACGACGAACATTGAATTATATCTATTGGACACACACGATAAGAGTTTGAGAATAAAATATGGAATCTTTTTAACAATAGAGAATGGTGACTAAAACCATGAAAATTTTCAATTCAAACTTGTTTTCTGATATCGATGATTCTATCAACTGATTCCCAATATTAACTGGCCAAGTATGAGACACAGAGTATTGTTGTTCAATATACTGAGTGTTTCACAACTTATCTGACAAATTACGAACTCTAGAAAACAATTATGTTAGAAGAATGTGGTGACCAGCATTATCTCCAGATCTGAATTTGATTGAACATGTGTGGAGCCGAATAAAACTTAACCTATCGAGAAGGCGGGAGATATCGCAAAATAATGACAACTTTATCCAAGCTGTATCAGAAGAATGGAAGGCAGTATCATAATCGAAGACTTCATCAACAACCTCACAGAATCTATGCCAAACCGATTTTATGAGGTTTTGTTGGATCGGGGAGGCCCTACCAAGTACTGAAATTTAGGATATAGGACTTTCTAGTTGGATCTTCATAATACTGAAGAATTCACTAATGTCATATTTCGCCAATAGAGCCCATTTGGAATAGTTTTAGTGGATATAAAGTGTTATTAATTTTATTTTCCATCTCGTTTTACTTCTATAAAATTTTTATGTGATAGACTTCTTATGTAATATCGTAGTTGTGGTTGAGATTTGTCAGATAGTAAGTTGTGAAACACTCAGTATATTGAACAACAATACTCTATGTCTCATACCTGGCCAATACATATTGGAAATAATAAGTTGATAAGAATCATCGATATCAGGAACAAGTTTGAATTGAAAATTTTCATCCTGTATTTCAATTAGTGGCGGATTTTCGAAAACGTCTCGAGTCAATAGTCTAATATAAATAATGGATATCGAGAAGGCAATTTGTGAATAAACTAAATCGAATGGGCCATGGTTTTTGTCACCTTTTTTGATATTTTTCACTGAAATGAGATTTTGTCATATTATCTTATCATCGTGTATATTCCACAATAGTGCTTTTTTCGTCTTTCATTGTCCTCCACAAAACATTAGAACAGTTCTTCCCAGTAGTCAGCTCAAGTGGAGTTCTAGAGAAAAAATTCTAGAAATGAAAGAATTTCGAAAAAAATCGAATTTTTGTTCCAATGGCCAATTAAGGAGAAATCACGAAAACGTCCCGAGATGAGGTTCCAGTGTATCATAATATGACTGACTTTTGATCAGTAAAAAATTTCTCGAGTTTTGGCAGCATCGGAAATGTAGACCATAGGGTATTGGTTCCACTTCACACCCTGTGTAAGTTTTGTTCTGCGGACTTTTTCAGAGTGTTCTAGCTCTCTTTGAAACCGATGAAACATCACATCTGATATCGAAAACCGCATGAAGATCGGTCAATTTATTATAAAAATACAGGTCTTCGAAATAGAGTCAAATTATGAGTGGTCCATTTAGTATGTTGAGAACTGTAGATATTCAGATTTAGATTGAAATTCTGAATTGAGGAAACCCAATCACGAATCTGTGATTAGAGGTCTGTGAAAGCAAATTTCCATTCTTCAAGTTTGAACCCCTTGATTAGGTATGAAAGTATTGAAAAGGTATATATAGACAGGAAAGGAAAGTAGTATTCTATTGAATATACCGAAAAAGAATAATTCATATTTTCATCAGATAGAGAATGCGGCTTCTCAATGTATTCATATATGTATCAATTTTTAATGTTCATAATATATCTGAGACTATTCCAACTCAATAGATACTAATCGATCTTATGTTTGTTATATACGTATACTTTTTCTAGCTCTAGAAGTTATAATTATTGATAAATTTTGCGAATCCTTCAATGAATAAATATCTCATAGATATGCATCTCAAACACAGGAAAAACAGTAAGGAAAGTGAAATAATGGTTCTGAACAGTACATGATTTTGATATTTAAGTATGGAATTCATGTTTGCTTTGTGTATAACTATGGCCATAGATCTATGGCTGTCCCGAAGGCTATCCATGAAATGTCTTCTGATATCCGTTATCTTAGTAATATCTATTTGAAGCCCAGAAAATAAATGAATGAAGGGGTATTCTTTGAAGAATCATATTTTGTTCAAAAACGTTAGAGAATAAAAAAAAAACAATCTCAAGCTGGAATTTTGTAATTCGAATGGATTTTGCTGGATTGTGCTGTAGATATCTTGTGGTTATTCATAAAATATCTTCTGAATGATATCCATCATATATTCTTGATGAATATCTTATCTTAGTCCATGTCAAATCCGAAAGGATATTCCGACCAGAATTGGACACGATACGAATATCCATAAAATATCTTATGTTTAAAAATACGAGAGTAGTTATAATTGAAGCGAGACACACATAGTACCTACGTTATCTCCTACGTTTTCTTTTCCATTACTACTTTTGTGACACCAGAAAATCAGATTTCCGACATATCATCCTGGAAATTTCATGTGAATTTTGCTACATCTCATACTCCTGCTTCCACCGTTACCATCGAGACTTTACGGTTCCACCCAGTATGAAATGCGTATTTTTGGAATGTACGAAAATACTTGACAACAACAAGTCGAAACGAAATGAAAACAAGTAATGAAACGTATTTACCTCGTACTGGAAAGTCAATTTCTCGAAATTTTGGTGGATTTGAAAGGACGACGGGTATTGCAGGGCCATTTTCCACCGTCACTGATGACACGTACACTCTGTATAGTCCGAACTGAAGTGGAAACTTTTTAATAATTGCGAAAACTCCTGCTTTGACTCGTAGAGGATTGCGCGTTGAAACTGAATGGGCAGCACACTGCTTGCTAGTATTCCCTTTACCAAATATCCTTACTCTTTATACTCTCCTTCGTAATAATTCTATTGTGTTTGTACGCACACTCAAAGGTAATATGATTAACGAATAAGGTTTTTTGATAATGTTTTTTTTTAAGTTTCGTGACGTTGCACCCAGTTAACATTTTTGGACAGTCGTCAACTTCCAAATTTCCTGATGGACACAAAGACCATGTTCTATTCGTTTATTTTTGTATGCACACTCGAAGGTATTATCATTAACCATTAACGTTTTTTGAGAATGTTTTTTGCGTTTAGCTCGACGTCACGTCAAAGTTTGCACCCAGTTAACATTTTTGGACAGTCGTCAACCTCCAAATTTCCTGATGGACGCAATGACCATATTCTAATCGTTTGATTTTGTAGGCACACTCAAAGGTAATATGATTAACGAATAACGTTTTTTGAGAATGTTTTTTTGCGTTCAGCTCGACGTTACGTCAGAGTATGCACCCAGTTAGTATTTTTGGACAGTCGTTAACCTTCAAATTTTCTGATGAACACAATGACCATATTCTAATCGTTTATTTTTGTACGCACACTCAAAGGTAATATCATTAAGAATTAACGTTTTTTGCGTTTAGCTCGACGTTACGTCAGAGTTAGCACTCAGTTAATATTTTTGGACAGTCGTCCACCTCCAAATTTCCTGATGAACACAATGACCACATTCTAATCGTTTATTTTTGTATGCACACTCAAAGGTAATATAATCAACAATTAACGTTTTTTGATAATGTTTTTTTGCAATTAGCTCGACGTTACGTCAGAGTTTGCACCCAGTTGACATTTTTGGACAGTCGTCAACCTCCAAATTTCCCTGTGGACACAATGACCACATTCTGATCATTTATTTCTTACGCACACTCAAAGGTAATAACCTTGACAATAATTAACGTTTTCTGAGTATGTTCTTTTTCGTTTAGCTCGACGTTACGTCAGAGTATGCACTCAGTTAATATTATTGGACAGTCGTCAACCTCCAAATTTCCTGATAGACACAATGAGCACATTCTAATCGTTATTTTTGTATGCACACTCAAAGGTAATATCATTAATAATTAACGTTTTTTGATAATGTTTTTTTGCAATTAGCTCGACGTTACGTCAGAGTTTGCACCCAGTTGACATTTTTGGACTCTCGTCAACCTCCAAATTACCTGATGGACACAATGACCACATTCTGATCGTTTATTTCTTACGCACACTCAAAGGTAATAACCTTAACAATAATTAACGTTTTTTGAGTATGTTCTTTTGCGTTTAGCTCGACGTTACGTCAGAGTATGCACCCAGTTAACATTTTTGGACAGTCGTCAACCTCCAAATTTCCTGATGGACACAATGACCACATTCTAATCGTTTATTTTTGTACGCACACTCAAAGGTAATATCATTAACAATTAACGTTTTTTGAGAATGTTTTTTGCGTTTAGCTCGACGTTACGTCATAGTTTGCACCCAGTTAACATTTTTGGACAGTCATCAACCTACAAATTTCCTGATGGACACAATGACCATATTTTAATGGTTTATTTTTGTACGCATACTCAAAGGTAATATCATTAACAATTATCGTTTTTGTGGATATTTTTTTGCGTTTAGCTCGACGTTACGTTTGCACCCAGTTAACATTTTTGGACAGTCGTCAATCTCCAAATTTCCTGATGGACACAATAACCATATTATGATCGTTTATTTTTTACGCAAACTCAAAGGAAATATCATTAACAATTAACGTTTTTTGCGAAAGTCTTCTTGCGTTTAGCTCGACGTTACGTCAGAGTTTGCACCCAGTTAACATTTTTGGACAGTCGTCAACCTCCAAATTTCCTGATGGACACAAGACCATATTCTAATTGTTTATTTGTTACGCACACTCAAACGTGATATCATTAACAATTAACGTTTTTTGAGAATATTTTTTACGTTTAGAGCGACTTTACGTCAGAGTTTGCACCCAGTTAACATTTTTGATCAGTCGTCAACCTCCAAATTCCATGATGGACACAATGAATATATTCTAATCGTTTATTTTTGTACGCACACTCAAAGGTAATATCATTAAAAATTAACGTTTTTTGATAATGTTTTCTGCGTTTAGCTCGACGATACGTCAGAGTTTGCACCCAGTTAACAGTTTTGGACAGTCCTCAACCCCCAAATTTCCTGATGGCCACGATGAGCACATTCGAATCGTTACACTATATTTTTCTGTGACAGAAGAAAGGACGAATCAATATTGAGAAAATTATCGACGTGAAATTTCAAGTTTTTAACAGTAGGGACACCTGCGTTGTAGGCATCTTTATCATTCTTTTGAAAAAATCAAATATCTGATGTCACTTCTGTCAGTCTAATTCTGTGATTCGATTTCGAGAAATTGCGAATTTAGTGGTTGTTTAGTAATATACGTAACCTCGAAGTCGAATGGAAGATAAAAGGACTTGCAGTTCTTTCTCGGAGACAATATTATTGATTTATTTTTCGGAACTGTAGCACAACAAAAGCCATCAACAGTGTATATACCGGGTGTCCCATTTTAATCTTTATTTGGAAATTTCTCGAAATGTATGCATCTGACAAAAAAAATTGACGAATAAAAGTTGTATGGTTTGAAGGGGGACGTCTGGTTGTAAAACAAGTTTCACCCCCTGACCCCCAGGGGAGTGGGAAATGGAGGTAACATTGAAATCTTCAATGAAAACCCCTATTTTTTATTGCAGATATTGGAAGAGCATTGAAAACTATGAAGCTTTCATTCGGGAACTTCTTTTTTATTTCCACAAGATGGCGCTCCGTATGTGGTTTCAGCAAGATGGCGCGCCACATTTTGCTAGAATTGTGAGAAATTTCCTTGACGAGAGATAACCGCAACAGTGGATTGGTCGTGGGGAATCCGTGCCCTGGCCACCCAGATCACCCGACTTGACATCCCCAGACTTCTTTCTGTGGGGTTACATCAAAAACATTGTGCTTCGCGAACCCCCAACCACACGCGAGAATATGAAAGATAGAATCAGAGGAGCGTGCATGGCTATAACGCCTGCTATGTTGGAAGCGACAGTGGAAAATTTCGAAAAACGAGTAAACTTGTGTATTCAAGAAAATGGAGGGCATTTCGAACACTTGATAAAGTAGTCAACCTCACTTAATACCAGCTCTAGTCTGACCTAAATTATACCTCAATTGCTGAACCATGCTTATTTTTCTCTTTTCTAGAGGTGAGGTAGAGGTGTCAAGGTAAGTTAGTTCGTTTAGCGTTAATTTGTCGTGTGAATATCACCCCAATGGCGTCTGTCTGGGAAAATATCACACCCTACACTCTTCCTCGTCTTCAGGGGGTTGAAAATGTGTAAATAGAAAAATATTGTTTTTTACGATCGCAGCGCCATCTTCTGAAAATAAAAAAGAAGTTCCCGAATAAAAGTTTCATAGTTTTTAATGCTCTTCCAGAATCTGCAATAAAAAATAGGGGTTTCCATTAAAGATTTCAATGTTACCTCCATTTCCCACTCCCCTGGGAGTCAGGGGGTGAAACTTGTTTTATAACCAGACGTCCCCCTCCAAACCATACAACTTTTATTCGGCAATTTTTTTTGTCAGATGCATACATTTCGAGACATTTCCAAATAAAGATTAAAATGGGACATCCGGTATATGTGATATATATCCGGGAAAAAAGTACTCACTTTTTTTCTACGGGAAAAAAAGTAATTCATGAAAAGTGACATTTTATAACCTGCCAACAGAGATGAAATGCCAAACTTTTTTCCTGTCACAAAAAAAATTCTTTTCTTCCTGAAATGAATGAGGAATAATTATTTTCCTAACGACTGCGGAAAGTAATACTTTCCTGCACAAGTTAGGTACAATGTTTTTCCTAAAGGTTTTTTCTGTCCATATTATTTATGAAAAACAAGGTTTTAAATAACCAAGATTTTATAATAATGCTACAAATTGACTGATAAGACAAAATAGTTACATAAATCATCTTCCTATGAATATCCTCATTTTCGACAATACAAAAATAGTGTGAAGAAGTAACTTTTCAGCACTAGTGCGGGAAGATTTTATAATAATGCTACACAGAATGGTTACATAGATCATTTAGGCAATCCTATAAATATCCTCATCTTTAACAATACAAACATCGTGTGGAAACGTAACTTTATCGCACTAGTGCTGAAAACTTACTTTTTCGCACGATTTTATCGATTTATTGTCGGGAAAGTGCAAATCGTGCGGAAAAGTGAAATCGTACAGAGAAGTACAACTTTCAAAACGAAAAATCGTGTGGAAAAGTTACTTTTGCTCACGCTCGTAGGAAAACTAATTATACCTTTCTTCAGATTTCTGGGATTTTATCTTCTGTCTCTATAAATCAGTTTATTAGTATTATTCCAATATATCTGTATTAAGGACAAATCATTAGGAAGGTATACCCTACCACCGGCTTCAAAAAACGCAGCAGCCAATTAATTATACATCTCTCAAGCTTCTTAACAAATTGCCGATTGTACTGAAGAATGCACTGATCAGAAAATTCAAAGCAGCAATTGTGAAAATTTTACTGAACAATGCCTTCTATTCACATGATGAATTTCTTGACTTCTGTGATTTTCATTTTTTTTTAAATAATTGTCAACTATCATTTTGAACTTTTTGAAAACGTTTTATATACACATGTATTTATCTCATTTTTAGTTTTAATTGTGATCATTTCATATTACTGTACGTGACAACCTAAAATGTATTCTCAACATAACTTGGGCTAATGAATTATTATTATTGTTATTAACATTTTATTAACATTTAATATCGGTAATATCAACGATTCTGATAATAGCGATAAACCGATAATATCGATACGTTGTGATCATCGATAATCGATAATCCAAAATCACTATAGCCTTCCTCTATATACAGGGTGGCCCACGGTCGATGGTACCTTAGACGTATACGGAAAACG